AATGTGCCTTACCCTGGACTGGGAGAAGTCACAACTTCATGTTCAGACAATATGGCAGGTGATCCTTATAAAGAGAGCTTGGAAGTCATTAGCAGCTGAGCAATCAGTCTAACTTGTCAAAATGCAGCCATGATGAAAGAGGAAGGGACACTTGTTTAATGCAGGTCACTTTAATGAGAAAAGCATGTTTTTGCACTATGAAGAAGTTCTTTAAAATTAAGAGTGTAAAACTTATTTGGCAGGATAACTCATCAAATTAGATAACAATCATGCTCTGTTTGAATATTATAATATAACTGTCTTGTTCAGTGGAAGAAATTAAATTCATTTAGGCTATTTTGAACATTTTGGGCAAAGAATCCAGAATTACTCATTCTTTTCTTATGGTGTAAATAAAAAGCAACCCATCCAAAGTTGGCTGAATTTAATTCTGTTTTAAGACCTCCTGCCAAAACCATAGGCACATCTTCATTAAAAAGATATATTGTATAATCCTTGGTACTTGTATAAGATCCATATTTATAATGTTTTCACTCATTATTTTTCCCATAGGCTGGTTCATCATCTCAGCAAGGTTTTGGAAGTAGCCAGGTAAGGACAGAGCATACTGTATTGGTTTATTCCTACAAAGAATTTTGTGCATTTTTGAATAGACAATTTATATATAAAAAAAACCTTGTTTCTTTGCAGAGTGGTTCATCCCAGCAAGGTTATGGTTCCCAGGTAAAATCAATCTTTCAGTGAATTTGTTTCAGAAAATGCAAAAGCTGCTGCTTGGTTTTCTGTACTTTTCGAATAATAATAATTAGAACAACTGTGGCAAAAGAAAGCAAAGATGATGATGATGATGATGATGATGATGATGATGATGATGATGATGATAAGAATAAGTGTCCCTCGGGTCAATCCCAAAACATCTGGGGCATTGTTTGAACACCATCAATCAATTGCAAAAGGCAACTTTACTTGGAACAGTTTTCATCCTACCTTTAACACCATCAAACATCCACATCTGCTAATCTCAGGTCCTTGGGAAAAAAACTCAATAGGTGGATAAAAACCCCAAACCCAGTCTAAACATCTGGCTGACTGTGTGACCAACCATAATATAATATTAAAAACTATTCATCTTTTTGGATGGCTTATCACAACAATCTTTGGAAATAATCAGGTTGACCTATCTTTAATATCCCATCATTTTAATTGTTTCACTCTTGCTTAAAAAGATGGGCCATTTTACAAAGGCCCAGTCTGCACTGAATGAATGAATATTGCTCCTTTATAGGAAGGGTGGGTTTACTTTCCATTGCTCTTGTCAATAGATAGAAAGCAAACAAATAAATAAGCAAACAAGCATTCTATTTTCTTATTTCTTTTTCCCAACAACCTGACTTAAGTTAAAGAGCTTTGGCAGCTCCAGACCTTCACAGACACCAGTTTCAATCTAGATGAGCATAGGAACAAATTAGGGCATCCCACACTTTCCCCTTGGAAATCTAGTGCATATACTCTCTTGACCAATTGCCTTGTAACCAAAGCCTTTTTCTTAGTAGCATCAGATGAAGTAAGCTTTCCTTTACAAACCATTATTTGTTTTCAGACAATTAAATTTCATGTACCTGTGCAGTTTCTGCCTATTTTGTACTCAGAGTATAGAACATCTTTTCAACAAGAAAAATAACCTCTTGTTATAGATTGCATGCACGTGTAAACATACACAAACACACATTATTCTTTTAGAATGGGCATTCTAAATTTGGTGTGATGTTTAATCCACTTACCACTGATGATTGGCAGCTATTGAATGCTGGTTGGGAATGCTGTAGCAGTGCCTGTTACAGACTTTTCTCCTAACATTGATGCAAATTTGAGAATTATTTTTCAATGCTTTCTACTCCACAGAGCTTGAGCAATCACCAGTTTATTAGTAGGATTCTTCCACTGCTTAAGAAGCAGTGAAAAATCATCTCCTTGAACTGCTTTTTTTCCAGTTCTTTTTTGTTGTTACCTCCATCGAGAGCAAGTTCTACTTATACCATGGGTTCTCAGCCTGATTTCAAAATTCTTTGGCAAGAGATTAATTTACTGCTCTGCAAGAGATATGTGTGGACTTCCATGATTTGGCATTAGGAGCAGCTTAGCAGTATCACTTAATGAGAGCAATTAATCCTACAGAGCACTTTGGCATACTCTCCCACGTTCTACAACCCAGACTATCCGACTTAAACCAGGATAACTGGCGAAACAACAAAATGAGTTTTATCTTCAGTTGCATTTTTTAAAATGTAAGATGGGTGAGGGCACCAAGAGGGGGATGGGTGCCACTTCACCTACAGAGCACAGGGGCCCATTATTTTTCTAGCAATTCGTAGCCATCTCCTGCTTGTTCATGCCACATGGAGGCTGGGAAGTTGACTCACAATGGAAGCACTATGTGCAGGGGTGGGCTTCAAAATTTTTAGCAATGGGTTCTCTGCCTGGTTGCTGGGTGGAGGTGGCCATGGTGGGTGTGGCCTAGTTGGCCCTCTGCACCATGGTGGGGGGACATTTTTGCCCTCCCTGGGCTCCGGAAGCTTTCCTCGAGCCTCTGGGAAGGCAAAAATGGCGTCCATGGGCTCCGGAGACTCTCTAGAAGCCAGAAACAGGCCCATTTCTGGTCCTCCCGAACTTCCCAGAGGCCCGTTTTTCGCCCTCACCGAGCTTCTGCATGTGCCTGCACTTACCTGCATCCAAAACTACTGTGTGCATGGGGACTCCTGGGAGGGGCGGGTGGGGTGGGCAGGGCCAGCCAGGAGTGGGATTTGGGGGTTTTCCGAACTGCACAGAATCTTAGCTAGGAGCTCTCCCGAACCCCTGCGAATCCCCAACAGCCCATCCCTGACTATGTGATCAATATACTGTATAGCAGTGGTTGAGATACTACATTCTCTTAAAAAGAAATAGCTATATGCCTTTATTTCTTTTTGCCTTACTACAGGGTGGTTCGTATTCTCAAGGGAACAGAAATCCGTGTGATGGGGTAGGTCCTTTTTTCTAAACCACCTACCTTGATTTAAATGGCAGATTAATCTGACAATCTTTCCCAATGGCTGTTGGATGTGGCAAATATCATAACATTGCAGCTTATGTGGAATGTTAAGTAATAGCATGATAATTCACGTTTTGTTTTAAATAAAATACAATAGCTTCAGTCAAAGGAGACTTTCTGTTATTTTCCTTCTGTGCATTCTCAATTATGTTATGGTATTTTAAACTAATTCTCAGCCATGTTAGAATAATGTGCATCGAATATTAGAAACTGTAAATCACTAAGGAAATGTATTGTTTGCAATATGCTAAAACCTTTTTATTTATGTATTAATCAAATTTGTATAGCTGCCCAACTCACCAAAAGCAACTCTGAAGCTATTACTTAAGAGATGAAGCTAAACTAGAAACCTCCTAGTTAATGTTGTTAACAAATAGGTTAACAAACAGGTTAACATTCAAGTAATGATGGAAATATTTTATGAAGTCATGCAAAATAAATTGCTTATGTTTTCCCTTCATATAGCTAATAAAAAAAATAATTGAAAGCTTTTACTGCATGTTGTAGGTGGAAGGGTTGATCTAGAATGTACACTAAATCAGATTACAAAGGTGTAGTTTATTTTGCAATGATTGAAAAGTCTCAACTTTGACAAGGAAGAAAGATAAAACTTAAATATGCAACCTGAGCAGGATGAAGCTGACTCATATATCAATGGAAACTACCAGCCTCACTTTCACCACTAGTGTAAACTAAACTGAAAAGCATCACAGAAAAATATGGCAAATTACTTTCATCACGTTGTTGAGGGAATAGCTGTGTCCATTAATCTAGGTTGTTTAATCTTTGTTTGTCTCGGAACGGAAAGACTTGTAGTTCCTAATGAAAAATTACCCCAAAACAAAAAAGAGTACATTTTTATTATACATGAACATGTGTTTTCCCTTCCAGAGCACTATTGGCAAAATAATCAGCAGTAGCAACTGTCCAAAGGTAAATATGTTTTTCCTCCCTGTAATTGTACAATTTGATAGGAAAAAGATACCAACGGGAATCATATTCATTCTATCCATGGCTGGGATGTTCTAGTTCAGGGGTATCCAACCTTGGCAACTTTAAGACTTGTGGACTTCAACTCCCAGAATTCCTCAGCCAGCTGGCTGAGGAATTCTGGGAGTTGAAGTCC